TGGAACTAGTCATCTTTAAAAGATTGACTGGAAAATGTATTTATATCAACAACATCATCTACTGAATAAGAAATTTCAGTAACTAAAAGCCTTACTGTCAAACTAGAGTACTGGAAACAGAACAAGCAGAACACAATTAATGAGACTGTTGAAACATTGTTAAAAATAAAACTAATGTCAGTGAACAACTTGTGTAGAAATTGTCAAATAGGAACCTAATTTGCTGTGTAAACTTTCACGGAAAACACAATAAAATATTATTTAAAAAAAAAAAGTAAGGTACTGTGAGTACAGTAAAAGCCACTGAAGCATACACTTTAAATGGTGGAACTGCACGACATGTAGACTGTATCTCAATAAATCTATTAAAATAAATAAATAAAAAGCCTTAGTGTCAAAATATAAAAATTGGAGTAACTCAGGTTTCCATGTAATAGGCATTTGTATACATGATTCTACAGAAGATTCTTCCTATCCATTATCAATTCCCAAATAAAAGAAATCAAACATGCTCCTATTTTCAAAAAGGCAAGAATACTGAAACATGAAAATTATCAGTATTATATGCTCATCAAAATAGAAACTGAGAGTACATAAATTTGTGGGGAAGTACATATGAAATCATGTTCAGTATAAACAGCAGGGGGTAATATAAAACTTATTTCCTGATTTCAGGAACTTTTTTTACATAAATGTAGTTAAAAATAAAGAATTTATATAAATCAAGGAGGTTTTAAGGAAAAAGTCATATTTTAGTTTTCATTGTTTCGGAGATAAGAAACGTGGAGATTGTTCTGAACAATATAACTAATTGGATGCTTGCCCCAGAGTCCTGAGGCGGCAGTCCTCCACCTTCCTCTACTCTCCACAGTGACATGGGCTACCGAAAAGTAGAAGGGGATGGTGTTACTGATGGCAGCAGTCATCTCCTGCATATAGGCTGGGGAGGAAAAAAAACAAAAAGCAAGCGAGCTACCGTTGTAGGGCCTTGTTACGTTCTGACTAAATATTCCAAGAGTTCCTATTTGGTGTTTGTCAGCCCCCAATATGCTTCTCTTCTCACCACCACCCTCTCAGTCCTAATTTCCAATTAGAGTGAAAGTGCAATTCTCTTTCCTTCAGTCAAACTATCAAACGTAAAATAGTTATGACAAAGGAGTCTCAGTTAAGACTGTAAAAGAAATTTACATAGAAAGACTCAATATTAAATTAGACCCCAAGCAATTGTCAACAGCATTACAGGTATGTAACATTCAGTTTTACCAGCGTGATTAGTATGCATCTGGTAAATTATAGAGAGCATGTATGTCTAATATTTACATCCAGACAGCTGAGACCACTTTGATCCACATTAATGGGATACACACCTGCCTAAACATGGACACTAAGAGCTTGGCTATTTCCTATGTAGGTATACTTCTTTTACTCTTTTTTGAAAAATATAGCCAACTTTCCTCTGGGTGAGCCTTAGCTGTGCGACCCTGGGCCTATTACTTAACCTCACTGTGTCCCAGTTTCCTCATTTGTAAAATGGGGATGGTTATGGCACCTACCTTACAGGGTCATTAAGAGGGCAAGATAAGTTAATGTATAGAAAGAGCTCAGAACTATGCCTAGCATATAGTAAGCACTATAAATGTTAGTTGCTTTTTTTTTTTTTTTTAAATAAAGAAATGCTACTGGAAACTTTTTGTAAAGTAATATGTTTTCTCTATAGGAAGTAATTCTTAATTCCACAATATT